ACGTAATTCTTCCCTGTGAGGGTGGTGAGACACTGGCACAGGTTGCCCAGGGAGGCTGTGGCTGCCCCAACCGTGGCAGTGTTCAAAGCCAGGTTGGCTAAAGCCTTGAGCAACCTGTTCTGGTGGGAGTTGTCCCTGCCTAGGGCAGGGGGTTGGGGCTGGATCATCTCCAAGCTCCATTCCAACCTCTTAAAACACTATGATATAACAATCTTCCTGCCCGATTCCACATGTTGGACAGCTGCACTAGGTTTTCTTACACATGTATCACAACAGCTTTAATTGCTCCAGAATTTAACTTATTTACTCCAATTTACCCTGGGAATAACAATGTTAACAGACTTGGTCTGTTATAGGATTGGAAGCAGAAATCTAAAACTCTATTGCTAAACTTTATCACCACTGATGGAGTTTATTCATGACAGTTTAGACACCATATCTTTGTAATCTCCCCCAAAAAGCAGCAATCATCAGACTTTAAGAATAAGATACATAATAACAGCACAGATTTCTGAACAGCTGGTCCAAGTTTTAATTTGGTTTCCGTGGAGGTGAGAACCACTCAGACATCTCCACTCTTGGAATCATGTAAGGTCAATTTTTCAGAGCTCTCTTCTGGCCACCATACAAATAATGGATGGAAGGAAGGTAAAAAGCAAGTGAGGGTGAGAAACAGAAAGCTAGAAAGAAAATAAAGACCATTTCACACTGTTAGTACATCAGATCTCCAGATGTTATAAAGTTGGTCACATTTAGAGACTTCAGTCTTAGAATCCAGGGCAAATGAACACCCAGTTTGAAACCGTTTTGCAAATTGCTTGTTGAGTGTGGGAGAAGGGAAATGAAGCTAAAGTCTTGCTGTTGTTTTTTACTACTGCCTATGGAAAGGAATGTAGGAGATCACTGGACCCCATTTGAGAGAGCCAAAAGTCAGGAGCCTGAGGTACTCACTGCAGCAACTTTTATAGCTAACCCTGAGAGAGAAAACTGAGGCAATTCTTATGTATCCCATTAAGAAATGGTTATGGAACAATGTCTCTTCATTCCTCTCCTGTGTTATTCTACTTGTGTGTGATACTTTGCCAGAGTGCCACTGTTAACACAAAGTTACCTTTTGGAAATATATTCCTGAAATTCAAATTAAACGGAGATATTTCTGTTAATCTGTGCTTTCAGGAGCTTTTAGCTGTTGGTTACAGAGCAGTTGATTTTATGGATCTGAAGAAAGGCTTGGCTTGCTGTTGGTCACTGAAGAACCCTATGGTAAGGAGCAGCCAGTATGCTTTTCCTTCAGTGCATTTCTCTCTATACTATTTCTGCTTTATTTCCCTTTTAACTGTAATTATCTAATCTAACTCCTCACAACGCTGTCAAAAAGAGAGTAAGTTTCTGTCATGGTTTAAACCCAGCCAGCCACCAAACACCACGCAGCCTCTTGCTCATTACCCCACCAACAGGATGGGGGAGAGAGTCAGAAGGGTAAAAGCTAGAAAAACTCCTGGGTTGATATAAAGACAGTTTAATGGAGAAAGCAAAAGCTGCACACATAAGCAAAGCAATCAGGGAATTCATTCACTGTTTCCCACAAGCAAGAGGTGTTCAGCCATCTCCAGGAGAGCAGAGACCATCATGCATAACAGTTCCTTGGGAAGACAAACGTAAACACTCCAAACATCCCCTCTTCCTCCCACCTTATATACTGAGCATGATGTCATATGGTATGGAATATCCCTTTGGTCAGTTTGGGTCACATGTCCCAGCTGTGTCCCAGTCTCCCATGCACCCCCAACTTCCTTGCCAGTGTGGCAGTATGGAAAGCAGCAAAGGCCTTGACTCTGTGTAAGCTCTGCTCAGCAACAACAAAAACATCTCTGCATTATCAACTCTGTGTTCTGCACAAAACCCAAACATAGCCCCATACTAGCCACTGGGAAGAAAGTTAACTCTATTTCAGTCCAAACCAGCACAATTTTGTAAAGGCAACATTTATATCTTTACAGATCCTTTTCACACTAGCCATTAAAAACCCCTTGGACATCTCAGTTACAAAGTGTCACAGTAAAACCACCTGACTGCCATCACATTACACAATTTCACTTTGATTCCTTCTACAAACTTCACTTGGCCAAAACTGTGTATCAGACTAATTTAAGTCACCCAGAAGCAAATCTTTGATGCCTATTTATCACCTCAACAACCATCAAATACTCTCATGATTCCCTGATGTCACCACAGTCCTGATAGCTCTTTGGCTTGGATTAGGCCCATCCAACTTACTTTACAGTGTCATATTTCTGCATAATCTTTATATTTTCCGATTTTTATAAGTTGCATGGGGAAATAAACAGAGCCATTTAGAATACAAGACCTATTTTTTGCCTAGAAGTAGTCATTATGGTCCCCAGCACTTGGGTTTTCCAGCAGAGCAATTTAGGGCCCAGAGTTGAGAAGTCTGAGGTAAGTTATTAAACTCACTTACACCCCTCTTGCATTTTTCTGCTGGTCAGTGGCCGGAGCGTATTTTCCAGTGTGAACATGGTGTCACTGCCTTGGATTTCTCCAAGGCAAGCCCATATCTCTTAGCAGTTGGAATGTCCAATGGATCTGTCTCAATCTATGATGTTCGGAGTCAGAATGACATCGCAATGCTGGACAGCAGGTGAGGCTCTGATCCCCCATCTCCTCCCAACTTGTGAGCAAACAACACATTGGAAAGGCAAGACAAAGGAGTCCTAAACTCTGGATCTTTAAGGAAATGCAGCAAGTTACCACCATGTGTTATTTATACTCCATGTCCTAACTAGGTCAATCCTGCCCCAGATAATAAATCTTATGTGGAGACCAGTGGTAGCTTTTGATGTTTTCTCCCTCATTCCACTTGCTAAAAATCATAGAATCATAGTATGTTAAGGAGTTGGAATGGAGCTTAGAGATCATTCAGTCCCCACCCACCAGACCAGGTTGCTCAAGGCTTTAGCCAACCTGGCTGTGAACACTGCCAGGTTTGGGGCAGTCACAGCCTCCCTGGGCAACCTGTTGGTCACTGAAAATCTTTGCCTAATATCTAACCTATATTTCCCCTGGAGAAAATGGAGGGAACATCACAGTAGGTGAGAGGGGAGCAGGAATTAAGAAGAAAAGAGAGAGAGGAGAGTAATAAGAGAGACATTTGCCCTAAAGGCAGCTCCCCAGGTCCAAGGCACTCTGCTGCAACATGCAGATTGAATATCATGGTTCAGGTGTCACTGTAAGGTGTGTCAGCACATCGACAGTGTTCTGAAACTGTACATGATGTATTTTGTATCAAAGTGTTCAGATTATTATTATGAGAAGATCTAAACATTTCTGTCATAAAGACTTACTTGTCTTTGTTCGTGTATGTGTTTGTTCATCTATGATTCACCATGTGCATTTTTGGCCCCAGTGCATCCTTAAATAGACACATAAGTCCCATATGGCAGCTGAGGTGGGTGGAACAGGACAGAAGTGCAACAGGAGGTGACAAAAGAGAGAGACTGATGTGTATCTCAGCTGATGGTCGAATATCTGAGTGGCTCATACAGCAAAGGCTGGATTGCATTGGTGAGCATTTCCCCACACAGGGATAACACCTCAAACTATTTTGTTTGCTCTCAGGTGGCATTCTTTACCCTAGTTTAAGAGCTGTTTGAGCACCCCAAAGCAGCTCACAGCACTGTCACACACCCGTTTGACTAAAGCTCTTGCTGTTCACACAGATCTGATGAAATTAAGGCGAACAGAAAGGGAGAAGAAAAAATTACCAGGTGAGAAAGAAGGAAAAAGTGAAGCTCCAATATCTCAACAGGCAGCTGGAATGTGCTTTGATTTCCATCCAAAGGTATGCTTGGAAAGTCCATCCTGGCTAAAGCATTGCCCAGGAAACCTGTGCAGTGGAGGTGTAATGCTCAGGTGGAGCTACTTTTCTATGCACTTGCCTGGCACTGGTGTTTAAAACATATGAGTTCTGAAACAAATTGTTTCTTAGCTAATAAGTTTTCTCCCAAATGGCTGAAATGGTAAAGAAGCCTATGAACAGTTCTGTCACCTCAGACATGTCACTCACATTTCCTTGGGCACAACCTGGGAAGGTTTCCCTGTGTGTCAGCCAAATCCTTCAGAATGTGTTCATTTCCCAAGTCCAGGACTGAGGCTGCTCTGCCTCTCCTCTTTATCCAGCTGATTCCTCCACAAAGGACTTGAAGAATTCATCTATTTCCAAACTGGATTGCTGAAAGTCTGAGATTTTCAGGAGTCAAACACCCCAGTATATTCAAGCACATCTGCTGTGTTCTGGCACCACAGTACCCCCCACACCACAGCTCCACCTCAGCTCTGCTCTCCACTGACTCTGCCAAACTCATCCAGCCCCTCACAGACTTCTGGATAAGGGATAAATAGCTTACTTTTACCTTTCTTTCAGGACACCGATATCTATCTTGCTGGAACAGATGAGGGCCACATCCTCCAGTGCTCTTGCTCAGGCAAGGAGCAGATTCTGGGCACATACAGAGGCCACAAGGTGAGTGATAAACAGGAAATGTAGTGACAGCAGAAACTGTTGAATTAAGATCAAAATGTAATAGTTTCTTTGCTTATATTAACTAAACATAACATCTGCAACAAAAGAAACTTAAACTTTTTATATCAGGAAGGAATTCCCAGAACACAAAGCATCACAGTCTGACAGGATTATTTTCTACATTCTAAGGATTTTTTAAAGTAATTTTTAAAAACTTGTATTATAAATTGGTTTAAAGCTTTAGTTCTGCTTTACTTTAAGAAAACAATCAGAAATCTGATTATTCTGTACAGTGAAATAGTCTTTCTCCTGAGAGAGAAGCAGGTTAGCTCTAGGATAGATTCTGGAGCTCTACAGTAACACCAAGTCCTTTCTATTTCTCCCCAACACCAAAGGGTCCTGTGTACAAAGTCTCTTGGAATCCATCCAGCACTGACATGTTCCTGAGCTGCTCTGCAGACTGGAGCACCATTTTATGGCACCAGCACTCAGAGACACCTATCCTAACTTTCAGTTCTGCCACAGCTTTTGTCCATGACATTATGTGGTCTCCAAAATCAGCTTTCATCTTTGCAGCAGTGAATGAGAGGAGAGTGGAAATTTGGGATCTGAGCGTCAGCATGTAAGTAGTGACTTTTCTCAAAGGAGACTCTGAATTTTATGGCATGAAGGCTACACATTATTGCCTAATCAGAACTGTTAGCAGACCATGACAGCTCCACACCCTGTGCTTCCTGCTACTTGAAAGCTTTGCATTTTGAAGTACTCATTTTGTAAAGGCAGATGGTAGCTATCAGAGTTGGGGTCAAAAGAGGAGCTGGATGCCTCATGGAGCTGAGAAAGGAGAAAACTGCTTTTCACCCCCCTGCAGAAATCATAGATCCTACCACTACCATAGTTGAAAAACATCAAAACTGAGCTGCTTTTATAAAGGTACAATGGCTTTAGATACCTCTCATGTTCTCCCATTCCTGTGCACATCTCCTGTGTGGCTGAGTTACCTGTGGCTTTGTACAGCTGGTCTGATTTAGCATCACTGACAGTGTGAAGCCCATGATGGATCCAGAGGCTCATCACACCCTCCTGCAGCTTAAAACAAAACATGCATACAATAAACATATTAACCACCAAACGTATTAATCACCCAAACATTGGGCAACAGGACAGATTTTAGGCAATCAGGAGATCTATGGTCAGACACTAGAACAAGCCCAGAGAAGCTGTGGCTGCCCCAGCCCTGGCAGTGTTCACACCCAGGTTGGCTAAAGCCTTGAGCAACCTGCTCTGGTGGGAGGTGTCCCTGCCCAGGGCAGGGGGTTGAGGCTGGGTCATCTCTAAGGTCCATTCCAACCCCTCAGCATTCTATGATCTGAGTTAATAGCAGCTGGGCTTTTTGTTCTGGCAGAGCCCAAACAAACCACTGCCCCACTTGTTAGATTTTTAGTTAACCTAGAACACAAGAAGTGACCTGTGCAGCATTTCTGAGGCTGCACGGCTGACAGCCCAATGCTCTCAGGTAAATGCACAGTACCATTAATTCTTGCCTCATCTGGGTTACAGCTTCAACCCTGTGATCTCTCGCTCTGTCAGTCCAAAAGCCAAACTCACATCAGTCCTCTTTGCCAAGAACACTGACTGCCTGCTTGTGGGAGACAGCTCTGGGAAAGTGGGTGTGTGGCAGCTGCAGGACCTGGATGCTCCCAGCAGCAATAAGGTATGATGCACTGGGAGAAGGTGGGTGTCTTCTGAGGTCTCTGTGCTGCTCTGGGGCTCTTTCCTCAGCAAGGACTTCTGTGAAAGATCCAACTCATAAATGCTATGTGGAATCAGACACAATTCCATTAGCAGGTTAAAACCTGAGGTGGTTCCTGCTCTTCTGCTGTTTTACAACAGAACCTTCAGGAACAGCTAAGTCAACATCAGGTTCTCTTGATCAGAAATGAAGATCAGCTTCAGGTTTCACTTATCACAAATCCAGAGGTTCACCACAGCTGGATTTGGGAGGAATACTGGGGTCAGGGCAGGGAGGTGAGGTTCCCTCTAAACACGGTCTGCAAGGGACTGAGGGCTGATGTCCTCACCTGCTGCCACCACAGGCATGACATGCCCTTCCCTGGCCACCAGCACCACCACTGTGTGGGTGGCAGCAGACCCAGCAGCTCTTTGTAACTGTAGCCAAGTGGGAAAAGTTAAAGTGGGAATGGTGCTTTTCATAAATCCCTTCAGTTACATGGTACAAAACATGTAACTCAAGTTGGAGAGAAGGAAACTGCTCATGTCAATGTAACCTTCATTCTTAGTGTGTTAAGGATTAATACTTCACAGTTGTCAGTGTTGCAGGTAGAAGTTGAGGTAATTATCAGCCTCACCTGCCAAGTGCTGCAAACCACAGAGCACAATATTCCTGTTGAAAGTGAACAGCGAGGCCATTGTTGTTCAATAGATCAGTGGGGATTTTGCTACAAATCACCATGAAGCAACCCAAGTCCTCTGATCAGAGAAGTTCATTAGTTACTAAGAGAGGGATAATTTCTCTGTATGTCACCAGAACAGGACTAAAAATATCAGTTCTTAATTTCAGAGACTTTGAGCACATGGCATAGATGAGTCACAGAGCTGCATTACCCACAGAGAGCTTGGTTTTCCAGCACCATCCACTCCTGACACTCCCTTTCCTGGGAGCAGCAGGGTTACCCCCAAGGTTTGGGCATGCACTAGGCTTAGCAGGACCATACTACAGCCTTACTACAAGTAATGCGCAGGGGAGATAATTACTTCAGGACAGTCACATCTGGGTGCAGCTACCATGAGGTGTCATCTTGAAAATTAACCTCCCTTATAAACAAAAATATAAAGGGTTATAAAGTATATATATATATATCTGGCATTATATGCTGCTACAAAAACAATCCAACCTGGTCTGCCAAGCAGTGCTATTTTCCAGGAGCACTCTTAGAGGTGAGTATAGTACCATCAGAATTCCAAGGAAGAACGAGCTGATGCAATACAAACTGCTTCTCCTTCTTTCTGGAATGCTTGTTGCACAAGTGATTCTGTCCTAGTGCTGCAATTACCCTGTCATTCAGCTTCTTTTCCTCTCGTTTTATAGGTTGGTACCTTACAGGACATCTTTGGTCCTGCTGGAGCTGTGTAACAGCAGTTGACATTCCTTCTCCGTTGGGAAACAGCAGGAAAGCCTTACTGTAGGATGAACATAAACTCTTTATCCTTTTGCAGTCATTAAAGTTTCTCTTTGAAGCAAAATTCTTACAAATGCCCTAAATTTCCCCTGGAAGTCCCCCTGACTGGACAGTGTTAATACATGGATGGCCTTCCCTGGGATACAGATAATGGAATGGAAAGATCTCTGTAGTCTTTTCTCCTTGGGTTTTTATCCCCTTCTTTTTTCTCCACCCCCAAAGTCTTTTCTCCTTGGGCTATTCAAAACCAAAAATCACCTTCATGAGACAATCTCAGCCCTTACCAGTTGTGGAAGAATGGCTAGAAGAACAAGGACACATTGACATGAGAGAGTTATGCTAAAGCCTGACGCCATCTTAC